CTCGCGGGGCCTGCGGACCGGCCCCTCCGCGACGGACCTGAACTTGACCCGACTTCGCGGCCTCAGGTGATGCAAATGGCACCTCGCTCAAGGAAACCATGGGCGTGTCTCCTGCCGCCGGGCGCAGGAGGCCCGGGGTCACCGTTTCCCTGGCGGAGCTCGAGGAGCAAATGTCCCGGGCGATGGCAGTGTGGTGCGAATTTGAAACGTAGTTGCAAGTAACGCTCCCAACACCGGAGGCTTGAAATCCCAGAGCAGGGAAGCCTTTGATACGCCCAGAGCCCGAGGTCGGCCCCACGCCCTGTTGTGACACAAGCAGAAGCACTGCGCCTGCAACACGCTCCTGCTCAGGTATGTGCAGGGCGCTGCGCCTCCCGCGGGCAGCACCCAGTTTCACTGAAGCTGCGAGACGAGGAGGCGTGGAGCCTGTTTCCCAGGCGCTCGCTAACCACCCCATTTTTTTTGCCCGCCCACTCCGCCAGAGCCTCTTGGGTCCGGTGCCCAAGCTCTTCCCACATCTGTTCACATAGAGGTACCAAAATAGAAGCCTGCCAGAAAGAGAGGTGTTTGGTTACACATCGCCCATGACTGGCACAAGCCAATTTAGCCACAGCAGTAAAAGCTGAACGTCCCAGACCGTCGTGAAACCATGAGTTGTGGACAGTGATACAGGAGTTACCTTCTATGATGGGGCAAAAAAAAAGTCATGACAAGACATTTTTAAAATCTGACTCAATCAGGAAATAAATGTATTGTTTGTAGTAAATGTTGAACAGTGATCTTTATGGGCAATTCCCCCTCCCCCCTACTCTCCCAAGTTCTTACATATTTATTTATTTATTTTAATTTTAATTTTTTTATGTATAGGGCGTAATGTCACAGGAAGGCCATAGTATTCTGCCACCCGTGAGGAGTAAGCCCAAGTTGCTGTTGGATGTGTTGTACACAGAGAAGCCATTCTTCAGGCGCTCTGCTCTCTCCACACCCAAGTTCTTACATATTTAGAAAACTTCCCCAAAGTCGTTTAAGATGAAATGTTGGGCTAGAATAGTGTGGATTTGAATTTTATTTCAAAAGGCAGATTTATTTCAGAGTTCAGAGTTTGCACTCCAGAAGGTTATTTGGCAAAATGAGGCAGATTGATTACACATACCAAGTATGAAACCAAAGCTGAGTGGGTTTCTATGGGTTTAATAAATGCATTACCATGTATGTATTCTACTGCCCTCTCATGGGTAAGATGGAGATATACCTAGTGGTAGCGTCTTTTTAAGTCTGAGAATAGGATGTTAAATTTAGCGGTTTGTATTATTTTGATAAAGTAAAATAAAATCAGGTTCTCTAAGGGACCTACACATACTCAGCTAACAGAACTTAAACTTCAGAAAACAGGGAGGAGACTTAACACTAGGACTAGTACAAACATGCTGTTGGGATCACGCCTCTGCTTACGACAACCTGTATAGAATGTGGAGACAGACAGGAATTTGCTATTTTTAATTTTTTTTCCATTTGAAACGAACGTCATTTCTTTCTGAGATGTTTCACCAAATTCTCTTTTTCACGTTTGTATCCACTGATCCTATAACTTCACATTGTGAACTACTTGAGAGTAGGGATGAAAGCTTATTCCTTATACCTTTGCTGTCTAGAATAGTACCTGATGCTTTTGATATTCGATCAGTAATTGTTTACTAAGTAATATGAATGAAGTATCAGCCCAACCACTAGATGGCAACACAGTTGTATGTGCATAAGTATAGTCTGGCTAATTGGAATATGACTTCAGCCTGAGTAATAGGCAATTTCTAGAAACTTGTATCTTGTTTTGGTAAGTGAAATCATTTAAAATGTATCACTATAAGTGACTATAACTTTATTGTCAATGAAATCCTTAAAGCTAAGAATCCTTTTGTAAGATAAATTCTCACTAAGTAGAGTAACTCATAAGTATACATTTTCTATATTTACACCTGTTCTACTTTTGTCTAAGAAAGCCACTCTTCACTTATATCTGGTCAGAAGGACTTTTCAATGATCCAAGTGCCTAAGCAAGTTTTATTCTATAAACCAAAAGTTCTCCCAATAACAAGTCATTGCTTTTATCCCCACCCGCCCCCCGCCTTAATAACTGTTTTGCCTGAGGTCATAGAAATTCTGGGATCAGACAAACCTAGGTCCCCACTGCTACTGCTCACTTAGGTGTATCCTTGTGCAGGTTATTAACTTCACTAACTTCAGTTTATTCATCTTCCCTGCTATAGAGATAGTAACACCTTCTTTATAAAGTTGTGAAACGAGTTAAATTAAATGATGTCAGTGGAATAATATCTAATACAGTCCTTGGCTTCTAGTAAGGATTCAAGAACTGGTAACTATTATTATTCACATGAAAATCTCACCCACATATTATTTGGTTTATTTATTTTAGTCTCCTGACTTAAGGCCTTCGGCAATTAAATTAAGTTCATAACACCAGGTTTCATAGCGATAGGCCATGCGGATCTGGGCGACATTTGTCCTCCGGATATCATTTCCCATAGGGCCTTCCTCTAGGTAATGGTTGCCCAGGAACTTCGCTTTCTCCTATAAGAGAAAAGTAAGGAGAATGGTTGTTATCCCTTTGTACCCTGATATAGACAATTATTACACCCTCCACAAGGATTCCTTCCTTATGTTAGCCATTGGCAAAAGGAAAAAAAGAAGAAGAAGAAGAAGAAAACGATTAAAAGCACTCACCAGTGCCTCAGTGTGCATGGTCAGCTGAGACACAAGTGCATTTTATTTCCCTTGCCCAAAAGGCATGGCCAGAGAAATAGAATAATTCTTTCTAGTCCCTGTCCATAGCAACTGCATGTGATTTGGGGGATAATTTTTTCCCACGTGTATTTCCAACTCAGTTTTCAATATTCAGGTGACCAGATCTAAAATCCGAAGGGCAACCAGGCAAAGACAGGTCTACCTCGTGAGAAATTCCACATTGCAGAACGCTGTTCCTTGCCACCTCACACATGTCACAGGTACTCAGCTTGAAGACTTGTGCGGCAATGGCGTACTCTTCCATTAGGGGCTCCTTCGGTTATGTATTTAAATGAGGCAAAAAGAAAGCAGGAAAGAAAGGAAAAGAATGCATTAAAAGAACGGCACCTTACACAAAAAGAATAGTGAAATAAATCAATTTAACTTTAAAATTTCTGGGTGGGAAACAACAGCCCAACAAAATATGCTTGTATTGTTCAAGATTCCATATGAGTACCTTGGTGAAGTGGAATTGCATTGGGTCATCTGTAGACAGTGAGATCATTAGCCCTTTCTGGAGGAAATCTAAGAAAGGATTTTTGGCATATTCTAGAAATAAGCTGTTGTTACTTAATGGCGACATAGCGATGGGAATCTGAGCTAAGAAAAACAGATACTGTAATACAGGAGTCTGAAAGGGAAAAGGAAAAGAAAATTATTTAAGGATGTTGACAAAGGGATACAAATGAGAAATGCTAAAACCCCATGGTCTACCTCAAGTTTTAGCTTTCAAGTAATTATCACCTGTCCTTTAAATCCCCTTGTGAAGAAGAGGAATCATTTTTAAATATGAATACTATTTAGAATAAAATGATGTGGGATCATCAGCTCTCAGAAGCATTGAGCTGGATGGCTGTCTCTGGCAAAAGACCTCACCTAGAAACATTTCTTTTTTTCTCTACAAGGGAGTTCTGACTCTCACGAGAGGCATTTTAAGACGTGCTATAACAAGGAATCTGGCAAACACTAGCGTAAGGTGAGCCAAGCTGCCTCTGAAATATCCTTTGTCAGAGTCCTAAAATGGAAGCCAGGCCACCTGCTAACCCATCTCGGCCGTCAATAGCGGGGTAATCTTGAGCAAGTTCCTTCACTTCTCTGGGCCTCTGTGAAATGAACGGCACTAAATAATCTCACAACCAGTTTTGTTCTACTTTAACCTGATGTCAGTCTTGATAATGACTTGTGACTAGCTCCAATAAAAAGTCATTATTCTTTGTAATTTTATTTTTCAATAACAGTTTACATTCAATCTTATTTTGGATTAGCTTCAGGTATACAGCATAGTGATTTGACATTCATATACCTTACAAAGTATTCTTCCCAATATTTCCCGTACCTACCTGGCATCATACATAGTTATTACAGTATTATTGACTATATTCCCTATGTTGTTCTTTACACATAGGTAGTCACAGAATAGTCTTAATCCCTTCACCTTTTCACCCATTCACCCAACCCGTCTCCCCTCTGGCAATCACCAATCTGTTCTCTGTGTCTATGAGTCTTTCAAGTTTGATTGTTTAAAAAATGAACTATTATTAAGAGAGCCTCCGCCTCACCTTTTTTAAATTCAGGCCATGAGAAATGTTGTCTGCTGTCATGAATGCTGTCAGGAGATGGGTGAGCGCTCCAGCTTCCCCACAGTGAGGTCGGAACAGAAACGTATTCATGCCTCGTTCCCTAGGGAAATGGAACTGCTGTAGGAGTCACAAGTGACTGACTAGGACCTGGCAACAATTCTGGGCATAGAGCAATTTATGAGAAAATGTGATAGAAAAATGAACTCTCTGGAAGGGCATTCAAAGGACGTGGCAAAACCAGCAATTCCGAGTCACGATCTTAAGTCTTCCTAAACACAGACTTTTGAAAAATAGGCAGCAGAGAACAGGAGGGTACAGAGGAAAGTCAGGATTTGATTACCTGAACAGAAACATCTTTAGTTTCCACAGGAAATTCAGCAGCGTCCCCATATCATCATTTCTCCTACTCACACTTCAGGGGGAAACTGTTTCCAGAAAGCCCCAGAATAATATTCCTCTACTTATTCTTACTTAGATCTATCAAGAGGGGGGAAATGCATGGGGTTTTATAATAAATTGCATAGTTACTACTGTAAATTACTGTAAACATCCAAAGAAAATGAACTGTGAATGTTACTGGAGGCTCCAAAATGTCCATTCCTGCCCCTAAATAAATATAAGAAACTGGAGAAAAAGTCAAGGGGAAGACATGTCTGATTTGAGCCAGCTGGAAGCATCCCACCGGCGCAGTTCAGGCCCTTGACTGCCACAGGTGCCCATGCACCAGGAGAGAAGTGTGCCAAATAGATTCTCCTCGCTCCAATTCTCATCTACTTACTTTCTCAGGCTGTTGAGCACCATGATGTTCGCATACATGTAGTAGGCGTAGTAAGTGTAAGATGGATTACTTCCCGTTGTCCACTCCTGGGGCTTGGGGCTCTTGGAGGAAAACATGTGGCCACTGTGTTTGGACTCATCATCCACACTGTCAAAGCCAGTAATCTGCCAGGAAAAGCAAACCAGGCCATGGGTTCAGTCTGACTTCAGGGTCCCGGCCCTCAGACAAACTTTCAGCTCCCAAAGGCAAGGACCAAACATCAGAGATAAGCACCAGGGATTAGTCCCGGCCAGGTAGGTGGGCTTGTTTGTGCGCAGCAAGATGAAGGCCAACAGGTCATGCTTACATGCTTGAGGAAGACACTGAGGTCTGGGTGAGCCTGGGGGTTGATGGTGGCCTCAAATATTGGCATGAAAATATTCTCCAGCATCTTCCCAAAGTGCGGAAGGAAATTCTTAGCTCGAAACACATCGCTAGAGGCAAGAATGAAGAGAATTTAGGAGGACAGGAAGATTTTTAGGACTGATAGCCCCAATTCAAGGGAAGCAGAGGACCAAATGCCATGTTCAGGAAAAGACCTAGTATGTCCATCCTGGTACACTCTTCTTGGTTACCCATAAAGGGGGATTCAGTTGTGGTTGGGCATAGAAAGTATCAATTTCTTGCCTGATGGCCCCACCTCTTCTACAAATCCTTTTAGGAGGACAGGAAGATTTTTAGGACTGATAGCCCCAATTCAAGGGAAGCAGAGGACCAAATGCCATGTTCAGGAAAAGACCTAGTATGTCCATCCTGGTACACTCTTCTTGGTTACCCATAAAGAGGGATTCAGTTGTGGTTGGGCATAGAAAGTATCAATTTCTTGCCTGCTGGCCCCACCTCTTCTACAAATCCTCAGGTGGTGAGAAAAGCGAACCTTCACAGCTAAATCTAGGTAGAGAATGAGGAGTATAGGGACTATAACATAAAAGGTTCAATTATTTATGTGTGTGGCGTACAAGATGGTGCACATGGGACAGTTATCAAGAACAATCCTGATGTATTGCAGCCAAGGGCAGTCTAACAAATTCTTATGATAGCACTCAGCATATGCCAGCCACTCTAGTAACGGACCAGAAATATTAGCTAACTTAATCCTCATAACAACTCAGTAAGTTAAGTACTGGTATTACCCCATTTTAAAGATGATAAAACCAAGGCACACGGCTAAGTATGTGGTAGGGTCAGGATTCAAGCACAGCCAGTCTGGGTCCATGCTTCTAACCACCACACCTACTGCCTCTCCGCTGTAATGATATTACACGGAAAGTACTAATTCCAGCCCAAAAGTTACTTTTTTGGCTAAAGAGATAGGATAAAATTCTTGTATTGCCACAGGGCACACAGAACATGAAGTAGGTGGCCAGAAAATATATCAACACTTATGTTAGATAAATACTCAATGACACCGAACATCTCTGAGGGCAATGAGTAATTAACAGATGGTAACACCATTGATAAAGACTCATTGATTATGGAGAACTTGAGCACTTGCTGATGAGACGATCAGCAGACAGTTAGACGTGGTTCTGATACAAGGAAGCTATATCCCAGTAGAGATGAGAATGGGAAAGAGTGAACTGGACACAGAGAGGAAGAGCAGGAGAAAGAAAGTGTATAGTAAAATGCATGTAGTTCTTAGCTAAGTTTTAATCATTCTCAATAAGTTACTTTGTGATCTACGTGAAGTCCTGTGTTTAAAAAAAAAAAAAAAAGCCTTCTAGTTAGAAACTTGAACTGATAGGATCTTCCTAACTTCTGTCTCTGGCCAGGCGTGCTGCACCCAGAGGGAACAGTCAGGCACCCAGGACGCAGGACCCAGGACGGAGAGTGTATTCCTGTCTTGATCGGCTGCCCGTTTCTTGTTTGTGTAGAGGAGGTGAGGCAGGTACGTACTAGATCCTGGGGACCTGGATCATCCATGTCATGTTGGGGCAGTGGATGCGGTTGCGGACGAACCAGGTGGAGAGTTTGCTCCACTCCTCAGGACTTCGGCCGTAGATTGACAGGCGGGGCTCGGCGTGCTGGTACTTGGCCTCCACCAGGTCTGCACCTACCTCCTGCAAAGCCAAGAGAGGAGTCCAAAGCCAGGAATTCCTACAAGTAAATCAGGGGGCTGAGCCTGTGGGGTCCAGGAGCAGGACATGGGTACGAAGAAGAATGGAGGAAACATGAGAAGTCAGTGGGAAACTGTCAAGGTTAAGCTCTAAGCCTTAGGCTGTGGGAACAGAGTTGAGGGGAATCCCACGGGGAGGAAAAGACGGATAGGACATCATGGAGTCTAGAGAGTGAAAAAGTCAGACTAGGCATGATGAGTCACAAAAACAATATGTAATTACATATGTGTTTTCCGATGGTCTTAGGCGACCCCTGTGAAAGGGTCATTCGACCCCCAAAAGGGTCTCGACCCACAGGTTGAGAACCGCTGCTCTAAGGGAACAGAGTTGAGGGAATCCCGTGGGGCGGGGGGACAGATAGGACATCATGGAGCCTAGAGAGTGAAAAAGTCAGACTAGGTTAAATCAGGGGGCTGAGCCTGTGGGGTCCAGGAGCAGGAGATGGGTACGAAGAAGAATGGAGGAAACATGAGAAGTCAGTGGGAAACTGTCAAGGTTAAGCTCTAAGCCTTAGGCTGTGGGAACAGAGTTGAGGGGAATCCCACGGGGAGGAAAAGACGGATAGGACATCATGGAGTCTAGAGAGTGAAAAAGTCAGACTAGGCATGATGAGATATCCCAGGCACCTGCAAAAGAAATCCAGCTTTTCATAGGCCCCCTACCTCCCAAAACACACGTCTCCCAACTCCACATGTCATTCCCGCTCCCTAATGCTCAGGCATGAAAATGAGTTGCGGCTTCTAATCCCAACTCTTCCTGAATTTACAGCTCCCAAAGCCTGAGAGGCAGGTCCTTAATCCCAAATCTAATCCTAGGAATAGAGGTCTTTTAAAATCATCACAGCAGACATTTCAGAAGAAATTCTTATATTCATTTATGTAGTGCTTGATTCCAAGGATAGCCTGCTTTTTCCCTCCCTCCTTCCCTCCCTCCTTCCCTCCCTTCCTTCTTTCCTTCCTCTCTCCTCTCTCCTTTCTTTCCTCCCTCTCTCTCTCCCTCCTCAAGAGCTAGGCCAGGCACCATAGATCTGGTGGTTCCTCCTCACCTTGATGATAGTGGCAAAATATTCCCCATCAATGTAATTGTCAGTCTTAAGGTAGAGGTCCCGCAGCTCACTTGCTCCTACAGGATTGTATTTGTCATTGAATTTATCAAAACGCTGGAAAGTCTGGCGTCCCTGAATCAGGAAACAGGAACACACGGGTGTCGTTACCCGAGTTGCCTGGACACAGAGAGCTAGGGAATGGCCATGAGGAACAGGGGCCTGGTGGCAAGGGAAGGGGCTGGGCTCCAAGAATGGAATCTGGGACAGTTGATGAGTGAATAAACCTTAACATTGTCTGTGGTGCTTGCGGTCAGCATGGTAAGCCAGCATGGCTCTGAGAAGGGAGAGTCTGTAGGAGACAGGCATGTGGGGTTCTTCAGTGTTCGAGTGAAAATGACGTTATCTTTTCAACCTACAGCATGAACATCCAGAGAATCAACAGTCAGGTCGTAGGGATGCATTTTTAATTTAGCGAAAAGCTCCTTTAGGGTCAGCTTTTTCTCCTTGGTGCTATAGACCACTCTGTCAGCGTCAACGTGGTAAGATTTCTTGATAAAGCGCAGAAGGTGTTTCTGGTTCATGCAAGCAGCTGCATGGATATGGGTGTCCACCTGAGTGTACATTCAGAGAAAGAAAACCAGCAGTCAGCTTTCGTTATACTGCTCTGTTAGAGGCTATGGTGCCTGCGAATCCCACTGTGGTGGGAGGAAGGAATAAGTAACAAGGCTGTGACTTGACAGCTGTTGGAAAAGGCCCAGCAAAAAACCCAAACAAACAAACAAACAAAAAACCCAACCAAACAAAACACCCCTGGCACCTTTCTATGTCCTTGCAAGGATGTGAAGGTTAGGCTGGATGGAATCACAATGCCTGCTTCTGTTGTAAAACGTTACATCCAATTTACTTCCCCTTTACATCTGATCCACACAAAATTCTTGGGGACCATTCTCTACCCCTGAGACACATCCGGAAGTGAAGTAGATACCATAGTTTCCAGCCCCCAAGAGAAAAAGGATTGAAATTATGACAGCACGTATGAGCTATTTTTATAATTACAATTTTATAAGCTGAAGTATTGATAGGTTACACAGAATTTGGTCCCAAATCTCTGTCCATATATTTCCTATTCCCACTTCCTTGCAACCACTTAAATGGTCAGAACACATCTTGGAAGTGTTCCCAGTTGATGTGTTTTCCACAATCATTAGTTCATTGAGTGTCCATAATCCTTTTGTGAGCTAGACTGAGCAGATATGCTTCTCAATGAGGAATATGAAACTCCGAAATATTTAATCCCTTCTCCAATGTCTTACAGTCAGGAAGTAGAAGAAAAAGGACTAGGATGAAGATCTTTCTGATCCTGAATAGTGGGTTTTGAGGTTTTATTTGCTTTTGTTATTTCTGTGGTTGAGGATTATAACTTTTTATGACAAGAATGTGGTAAACCTTTCTATGTGGAACCCATACAAATGGCTTTTAACCTTTTGGACATAATCTGTCTGCTTTTAGTAAATTTCACTTAATCTACAGAAATCTCACATTAATCAGAAAGACAGTATCTTTCTTGTCCTGCTCAGAAAATACTAATTGGGTTAATGTTTTTGCCCAGGGATGACCACTGAGCAGCAAAACGCTTACCTTCCTGCAGTTGTAGAAATCCCGGTGGGGGTTGTTCTTCAGCTCCTTTAACTCATCCATCTCATTGAGCATCTCATGGACCTGGAACTTGGAGGAGAGGAACTTCAGGCGACGGTGGGTGTAGGTCTTTCTGTGAAAAATTAAGTCACATGATTCTAAAAAAATTCCAGACATTTAAGACTGTGGTTGAGGATTATAACTTTTTATGACAAGAATGTGGTAAACCTTTCTATGTGGAACTCATACAAATGGCTTTTAACCTTTTGGACATAATCTATCTGCTTTTAGTAAATTCCACGTAATCTACAGAAATCTCACCTTAATCAGAAAGACAGTATCTTTCTTGTCCTGCTCAGAAAATACTAATTGGGTTAATGTTTTTGCCCAGGGATGACCACTGAGCAGCAAAACGCTTACCTTCCTGCAGTTGTAGAAATCCCGGTGGGGGTTGTTCTTCAGCTCCTTTAACTCATCCATCTCGTTGAGCATCTCATGGACCTGGAACTTAGAGGAGAGGAACTTCAGGCGCCGGTGGGTGTAGGTCTTTCTGTGAAAAATTAAAGCACATGATTCTAAAAAATTCCAGACATTTAAGGAAGTCACAATTTCAAAACCATCAGGACCCTCAATAACTACAGGAAACAATTATTAGAACAAACATTTCAGTTTACTCTGGGTCCCAAGGGCTTAATCTTTTCATCAAAATTGGACATAATAATGAGGGAGGACTTAGGAAGGCATTTCAAGGCAGGGGAGACCGTGTGGCTCAAGGTGAAGGCCCTGGCTTTGGAGTTGGCATCTTTGGGCTCGAATCCTTTCTCAGTCAGTTGTGTGACTTTGGGAAAATTACTTAACGCATCAAAATCTCAGCCTGTAGAAGTGAAATTATAAATAAATACTTCATAGAACAATTTTGAGGAGTATAAGAAATCATGTACATGGAGGGTTTAGCACAGCTTTTTAAACATCATAAGCACTTAATAAATACTTATGTTTCCTATCAATAGTTGGAGTAGTAGGTTAGATCTCACTAAACGCTTACACGGGTCCTTGGGCAATCAAAGCAAGTAAAAAATTCATATCATCTACGAAGGAGTCCAGATTGGGGTAGGGAAGCGGCTTAGGCTCATCCTTGCTGGCTGCCGCTTCGCTGGGGTAGACATAGACCACGCCGTCCTTCATTGTGAGGTGATAACCCAGGTTTTCCGGGAGGTTGTCTGTTCGGAAAGGGTCTTCTCCCTTCTTCACAGGAGGGGTGAAGACTTTCAATGAAACACGGAGGAATGTGTCAGCACACAGGATGAATGACCACATAAAAACAACCAAAATATGAAATACTATAAAATCTCATTCGTTTGGAATGCTGTACATTGTAGATTGTCGTTATCCAGAGCTGATAAAGTTTATTTTTACGTTGTTGCTCAAAGGTGACTAAATTAGTAGTATGAAGTAACTATCATAGTTTTTATCTGGTATAAGAATAATTTTCAAGTTCTTTAGAAGTACTGTTTACATAATTGATATGTTATTTACAAATAATTTTAATTATTTACTAAAGTTGGTTATCAGAGGCTTCCTGTTTAGAGTGTTTTCTTAGCTTATGAAATAATTGCATAGAAATAAAAATAAAATGACAGTTAGAAAGTAGAGTTTGGACCTTTTCCTTATTTAAACCAACCTTCTCTATCAGTCTTAATGTAGAGATGATATTTTTTAATAGGCTTAATTATCACAGCAGTTTTAGGTTCACAGCAAAACTGAGCACCCAGTACAGAGTTCCCATGTACCCCTAGGTGCCCCCCTCATACACACACAGAGCCTCACTATCAGTCCCCCACCAGAGAGGTACATGTGTTACAGTCAATGAGCCTACACCTTGTTATCACCCAGAGTCTATAATTTACATCAGGGTTCACTCTTGGTGTTGTACATTCTATGGGTTTTAACAGATGTATAATGACATGTATCCAACCTTACAGTATCACAGAATTGTCTTACTGCCCTAAGAATCCTTTGTGCTCCATCTTGAGTAGTTTTAATATACATGGAAATATAAAATAAATTTTTGTTGTAAGAATGACAATTCTAATTGTAATTATATTTCCCACATTTTAGAGCACATATGCTTTCTGCTCAAGGAGTTAAGAAGGGATTATATGGATGAATGACCCCTTCTTTCCACTGCTACAGTTTCAACCTAAGAAAGCTAAGAACAAAGTCCACACTGTCACAGCCTTGAAAGTAAGGGGCCCGGCAGGCTGGGATGGAACCTCCAGCCCAGGTACGTGCCCTTGACCGGGAATCGAACCCAGGACCCTTTGGTTTGTGGGCTGAAACTCCAATCACTGAGCCACACCAGTTAGGGCAGTGGTTCTCAACCTGTGGGTCGCGACCCCTTTGGCGGTCGAACGACCCTTTCACAGGGGTCGCCTAAGACCATCCTGCATATCAGATATTTACATTAAGATTCATAACAGTAGCAACATTACAGTTATGAAGTAGCAACAAAAATAATTTTATGGTTGGGTCACAACATGAGGAACTGTATTTAAAGGGCCAGAAGGTTGAGAACCACTGAGTTAGGGCATGACTCTGGTATTTTTAGACTGGATTATTTTTAATCTAGGGGCATATTTAATAGTTAGTAGTTGAACCTAAAGATATATTCCATACATTGAAGAAGAGAATTACTTACCTGGATAGAAGTTCTCATTTGCTACCCAAGGCTCCCCATCAATGTTCCGCAAGTACTTGGAGGGGGTTTTAGGGAACCTCTGAAAGGACTTCTGCATGTATTTCTCCCGTATACAAAGTGCCCGATACAGACCCTTACATACTATTTCAAAATCTTCAACTGTAACCTGCCAAAAACATTTCAGGGCATCAGAGTCATTCCTGTGGAAATCCGAGACGTGGGGAAAGCTTGTCGTTGGCACCTCCCAACTGACCTGAGTATTGCTGAGCCCACCTGCCCACGTGGTTGCCTCCTAGCTGACTCGGGCCCTGGGTCTCCCTCCAGGGGCAGGTCCTGAAGTTTTCCTCACTCTTCCATTTCCACCAAAACTTACCTGTCGGACGAGTCTTTCCTTACTGTCCTGTGTTTGTTTTTGTTATTTGTTAGATAGCAGTGATTATCCAGAAAATATGATGAAAAGAACCCATTCTAACATGAAAAATCCTCCCTCTTGCCCTCCCTTCCTCCCTTCCTTCCTTCCTTCCTTCCTTCCTTCCTTCGTTTGTTTTTGTTATTTGTTAGATAGCAGTGATTATCCAGAAAATATGATGAAAAGAACCCATTCTAACATGAAAAATCCTCCCTCTTGCCCTCCCTTCCTCCCTTCCTTCCTTCCTTCCTTCCTTCCTTCCTTCCTTCCTTCCTTCCTTCCTTCCTTCCTTCCTTCCTGATAACATATAAACGTTTTAAATTTGGGCATATAGAGAAAATATCTCAACTGACCACTTGCTGGTCAGTGAGGGCAATATTTTGGGATGAGTAGAGTGTCATGCATCCCTCAAATCCTAACATGCCTTCTGTAGCTTTAAATGGGTCAGAACATCATCCTGTGAGAGCTCATTCTTTTGGATGATTTTAAAGAGAACTTTATCTGTGGCTAAAAGTGGAGAGATTCTGGAGTGAAATGGTCTTGGAATTGCTGGAAATTTCCTAGATCGGCCTATGCAGGCTTGTTCCCAGTGGTTCCCAGATATTGATTCTAATCAGTTGAACTCTTTTTAAAGACCTGCTGACCTTGGCCAAGCGAGTCTGGCGTAGGTGCTAGGTCTGAGGGCCTGCTTTCATGGCGTGCTTGTCTCGCCACCTAATGGGTCACCAGTTTATCAGCTCCTCAAGGGTAAGATCTAGATCTTATTCACCTTCGTGTCCTCAGCACGTAGCACACCATACCTACCACAGAGTCGGTGCTCAGTAAGGACCGATTGAACTGAATCAGTTGTTACCAGGGATCAGTGACCGTGAGAACTTAGCCCTGGTTTCCCTCTACCTCTCTGTTCAGTTAACAGGGTGAAGACGGATCTGGGTACAGAAAATGATTAAACAACAACAGTGGTCATTGCACTGCTCTGTGACTTTCCAATACCTCAGGACTAACCCTAAGTGGGTCAGTTGCAGAGAAAGGGGCTGAGGACTGGTCAGGAAAACTATATTTGGAGCATAGACTGATGACTAAACAGCAGTTTCATCGATACGATGCTGATTCTGCATGTCCATGTGGCAGAGATTTATTAACTGACCAACTGTTCTGGGTAGAGCAGGCAGGTCAAGTTGTTTATGCCACGAACTTACTGTTCCTGTGGCATCCTAGAGTCTGTTCCAAGCCACCCTCTATTATGTAAGCATCTGTAATGAAACTGGAGAGGACAGTTGGTCAAAGGGTAATAGCCCCATTAGAATTTTCTCACCTGTCTCTCATCGTCCTGCTTTCTTCTGGTTTCTCCACTCTTCTCTCTTTTCCCTTCTTTTTCCTGGATTGAGTCATGCTGCCTGTAGCCCTTCTCTCTATTCTATGTCTGTCCTGGGTCCATCTTTTCCCAGGAGCCCCCCTGTGCCCTCTGGAGGCTCCCTTTCCTGCTTGGTGATGCCCTTGTGAGAACAGTCCACCAGCTGGTTCCTTTGGTTCTTTTGCTCAAATCTGTCCACTATATTGTGTAACACACACACACTGCATTCTACTGCATATTCCCCAGGTGCAAGAAATGAGATAAAGGAGAAATTAACAAAAATATGAAAGCAAGACAGAAATATAAGTCCCGGCATATTGTTTTTGAAATGCAGTCATGTATAACACAGGGCAGGGGAGCTAACACCTTTCTCAAAAGGAAGGGGATGAAGGTAAGAAGCTGAAACAATCAAGCTGAGTGTCTTCCCAGCAGTTAGGGACCAGGAGCTACTCACCCCCGAGGCATAATCCCCGGTGATCTGCACTCTCTGGAAATCGGGCACCTCCTGGTAGGTTGGAGATGAAGAGATGTATTCGTCAATTTGGGACATTTTGGTGGACGATGTTTCACTTTGTGGAATAGACAGATTAATAGTCTTCCGTCCGAAGAAACGCTTTTTTCTGGGTTTAAAATGAAAAAAATAAAA